TAGAAGTGGCTGGAAGACCTGCCAAGAGAGCATTGCAATAGTCCAGCCTGGATAGAACAAGAGCTCGAACAAGGAGTTGTGTTGCATATTCTGAAAGAAAGGGCCTGATCTACCTAATGTTGTATAAAGGCCGTTGGCCAGCGTCGGGCCGACGGTGAGCGACGGTCGGGCTAGTTTGGTGTGTTCCACTCGTCGGCTCTTGTCGGGCTCACGTCGGCAGCAATTTGCCTGATTCAACATGTTGAATCGGCGTCGGGGCCGTCGGGACCATTGGCGCAAGTGAGAGAAACGCACGTGTTAGTTTGCCGTCGGCTGTAGTCTGTGCGGTGTGTTATGCCCGGTTCAGACTACACGATTTTAGCCCGATTTTGCTACGATTTGCTTGACGTAGGGTGTTGTGGGGATTCGTAAACGACAATGGGCGTCGGGACACAAGATTCCATCGTTTCAGCTCGTGTAGTGTGTCATAGTGGACGACAACCGATTCCGCGTCTGCAATGCTTAACGACAGAAAGACTAGCATGTTTAATTTTTTTTTCCGTCGTCCACGACGAGTTCTGTCACATTGGTGACGTTGACCAATAGCAGCACAGAAGCTCTTTCATACACAGGTTTCAAACATGGCAAAACGAAAGAGAGATGATGGTGCTGCTAGGTGGAATTATGAGATGGAGGAAAGGTTCGTGGAGCTGTGGCAACAGTACTCCTGCCTGTATGATGTGTCATCCAGGGACTACCATGACAGAACAAAAAAAGAAAAATGCTGACGAACTATAGCGGAAGCGCTTCAGCAATGTTTACACTCTTGTTCTTGTCCACGACACGACAAGATTTTAGGAGTCAAAATCGTGTAGTCTGACACAGTGACTATCGTGACCGACAAAAATATTGTGTAGTCTGAACCCGGCATTAGAGCGCAGCTTTTTGGTCCGACACTGCCGACGTGAGGCGACAACACCGTCGTCTTTTGTCGCCGCTAGTTCTTTGAAATCAGCTTGGTGTGTCCCGGCCCCATAGCAGATAGCCAGGAGGGTGAGAGTGAGCGTAGGTTATGTTGAAAAGTGACATGTGGAGGGGTATGTGTTGTGTCAGGAACCATGTTGAGGTTAAGAGTGAGGAGGAAGTGATCTTCTTGAGACTTGAGAGTGTTGACTTGAGACACTTGAGAGTGGAGCGGCCGGCGGGCTTGGTAGTGGAACGGCAGGCGGGCTGGAGTGTGGAGCGGCACCTGTTTTAGGGCTGAGGACTGAGAAGGAGCTCGGAACTAGAGACAGGAAAATGGATGTGGATTTGAGCGCTGACTGGCCCGACTGGTATGTGGGGTCTGCCCTGTTCGAAGTCCGTCTTCAAGCTCGAGGGTACATGGGAGGTGAAGGGTGGTCAGAACCATTGGTTATGCATGTGGAGGGTCCTAGTGTGGGGTGAGCTGGAGAGGCACAGTGTGTCTCAGGGGGCTGGATGAGGATGATTCAAATTTTCCTTTATTTCTTCTACCTCAAAATTAGAACCATTTAAATAAAGGATAAGATTAATTAACTCAACCAAGGGAAATTCACATGTAGGGAGATCACAACGGATCGTATCCTCATCCAGACCCATCTGAAAACAGACACCGAGAACAGCGTCATGCCAGCTCACCTGATAAGACAACTCAAGGAATTCCTCCACATACTTCTCCAATGACTGACCACTCTGCCGCAGACTCCACAACTGGTCCTCAGCCTTTATCATCTTTGTTTGGGTCCAGTGTTCTGTCAGGATGTCTACTGTGAGGTGCGAGGAACGCGGAGACATAGGAGTAGCAGGAATAACAGTCTTTAATAAACAAACCAAAGGGTAACACAAGGCAGGTAGGAGACACACATAGCACCAATAGACGTATAACACTGGACAAAGGAACCATTGAACAGACAACACTTTAAAGGGATAGTTCACCCAAAAATGAAAATTTTATGTTTATAGATTGTAGATAGAGTGTCAATGGTCCATTTGAGAGATAGGTGGAATGCTGTTCAGTTTCTTGCACAGACCGATCGTTTTGTGTCTTTACACATCAATGTATCGTCACGAGCCGCAGGGTTTAATTTGGTTTTGTTTGTGTATGTTTTTTTTAAGGTAATAGACGAGACACACCTGAATCAAATGAACACAATCAAACAAGGGAGAAACAAAACAGGAACACAAGTCTGACAAGTATATTAGGACACACCTCAAAGACTGTCTCTTCTCTTTCCGAAGGCATGTGAGAAGCAGGGAAATCTCCTTCTGTGCGAAGGGCAATGCTATGGGGCGTTCCATCGACAATGCACTGGCCTGAACGAGCCTCCTGCAGGGAAATTTTTATGTCAGGAGTGCACGTCTGGTAAGAGACTTCATAATTCAAACTTCAACAATTTAAAAAAATCTTGATGTAATTTTACAGTTTTACTGCTGTTTGACAGCTGGTTTTGTGAATGTTTTACTAGGTATACACTCATGCTTTTCTTGTAAGAGCCTGGCTGAGGACGTCAGGCGCTGTATGCTTCCAGGATGTGGGAAGTTCTACCATGGGGAGTGTGCTGCCAGCCATGCACCCACAGTACCTCTGAACCGGGCTTTTCGTTGCCCTCTCCACGCCTGCCTGTCGTGTTTCATCACAAACCCTACTAATCCATCTGTATCTAAAGGTTTGTTGTGCTTAGAGCAGTTACATTCTACATCAGGTGATGCTACATATGAAGGCTGGTTCACACTGCCCCAACAAAAACCAACAACTTCATCTGAGAACAGCAGGTTGGTGGCAAAAATATATTTTTCGTGAGTAATATTACATCCATAAAATGTGGGCAAGGTGTTATTTTTAATTACTACAGGTTTAAACATTTGAAAATACAGAAATTCACATTTGTTTCTGTAGATTTGGTAGGGACATTTACCTTATCATCATGACAACAATGTTTGGATGATGCTTTTGTTGGGGCAGTGTTCATTAGCATTGGTACACTACACAATTTTTTAAACCTGAACTGATTTCAAAACACTAGGCATCATACACATGCAGACTTTGTAAATGGTTACACAGAAAAACTGTCAAATAACTCATGTAGAAACGTGCCTCATTGCTAGGAGATGCTTGACAAAAGAAAATAATATGTGTTCTAAAATCAGCACAAAATAATCAAACTTCAACTGGATTGAATCCTAGTATGAAGATTAAAAATCAGAGTCTGTGCCAATCATACACTGCACAATCCTCGGTAAAATCTGCAGACTGACTATGACTTTTGGTAACTAAAATTGATTAACTAACCTGCTACAGACTGCAAATCAGGACAAAAATAATTTTTGTCTTAATTTTAAAATAACTAACTAAAATAACACTAAAAACTAAAATCAATCATTTTAAATGGTAAAAGTGAATTTAGGCATCACAACATTATTATTTTACAGTATGAAAAAATGATTATTCATTTCGAGATTTGCTGAATATAACATTTAACAGTGTTATTAATTTTTAATGAATACTTTAAGTAAGCATTATAATAAGGTAATCTAAATGTAAAATAGAGGAAATGATTATTAACAATTAAATATCCAATATCAAAACTATCCTAATATATAAAAAAAAGCCGATAACTAATATAGTACCAATATATCATGCTAACAAACATGTTACAGCATCTAAATCACACTTATTTTAAATTTGCATGCTTTTATTATGAAATTCACTGTATTTTGTGTCTTAGGCCAGCTAACCCGCTGTATCAGATGCCCTGTGGCATATCATGCCAACGATTACTGCATACCTGCTGGGAGTGTCACACTCACCGACAGCAACATAGTGTGTCCCAATCACTTCACACCAAGAAAAGGCTGCCGCAACCACGAGCATGTCAACGTCAGCTGGTGCTTCGTCTGCTCAGAAGGTTAATTCAGCTGCCTTGGACACATTTCCATTACAATTTGAACCTCTGATTTTATGTGCAATAAACCATTTATTTTAAATGGCTTTAGAAATACTTGATTCACTTCTCTCTACAGGAGGTAGTCTGCTGTGTTGTGAGTCATGTCCTGCGGCGTTTCACAGAGAGTGTCTGAACATCGACATGCCAGAAGGCAGCTGGTACTGCAACGACTGTCGTGCTGGAAAGAAACTGCACTACAAGGAGGTAGTGTGGGTGAAAGTTGGCCGCTACAGGTCAGCAACCACAAAACCCACTCTTAACTTCCTTCCCAATGTCATCAATTCCTGGCTTTTACAATCATTGTACACAACAGTTTCTGCTGTACTCTTTGATAGATGGTGGCCAGCAGAGGTTAGCAATCCCAAAGACATTCCAGAGAATATCCTACGCATGAGACATGATGTCGGAGAGTTCCCGGTTCTTTTCTTTGGCTCTAATGACTACCTGTGGACTTACCAAGCCCGTGTTTTTCCTTACATGGAGGGTGATGCCAACAGTAAAGAGAAAATGGGAAAGGGAGTTGACTCTACCTATAAGAAAGGTATCTTTTGTAACCGATTTCATTTTGCTTTTGCTGTTGGTAATGCGAGTGCACTGTTGCTTTTCTAATCATTTTTAGCTCGGTGAACAATAAAACTGGTGTTAAAATCGATAAATAAAATTATGACAATTCATGTTATTGCCCATATTAATGTTCTACACTATTCTGTATAAATACATGTAAAATAAAACGGAAAGCAGAAAGTCAATCATTTTAAATGCTACAATTCAGGAAAATCTATTTAAACATCACAAAATTGTAATGTACAGTATGAAAGCTAGATATTCATTTTGAGATTAGCTAAAGGTTTAATTTAATTGTTATTAAATTATTAATAACATTCAAGGTTTCTAAATATTACCTTTTAAATGAATATTTATCCAAAAATGAAAATTGTTATCATTTACTCACCCTCATATCCAAACCTGTATGACTTTCAGTCTTCTGTGGAAAAGAAAATATTTTAAAGAATGAATGTCTCAAAAGTCAATGTCAAAGCCAAAACATTGACTTTCATTTTACAGACTAAAAACATTTTTCAAAATATATTTTTTCATAGAAGAAAGTTATATAGAATGCAAGTGAGTTAGGTGACAGCAAAGATATATGAAATGCGTAAATAAGGGAAATGAGCATGTACAATTACATATCCAATAGTGACTTATACCCATAAATGATAATATCTTCAATATGGGCTGAGAACCAATATGATACAGACATATCATGCATCCCTAATAAAATCCAATGGATTTACTTTGAAAAAGAGACCTGAACCGATCTAGGGATCGGACTTAGTGCAACCACCCTAGAAGCTGCATAGAAACATATTACAACATCTGGAACTCCTTACCAACCGCATAGAAATGCCTTGACAGCCATTCACAACATTCTAGCATCCCGAAGGCAACTTGTGTAAAAATATGATTGTTTTACATGCTTCTTGGTGTAGCTGAAGTCAGTGCTCAAATGAAAAATGATTGCTGAAATCCAAATGTTCAATGTGGTTCAGCACTGGAAGAAGCTGCAGTAAGGTTCAAAGAACTGCAGGCTGAGCAAGAACTGCGGCAGCTGCAGGAAGACCGACTAAATGACAAGAAACCTCCACCATACAAACATATTAAGGTACATGCTCCTATGAGCCACTCCTATTGATCACTAGCTTTATATAATGACATCTTAACTTGGTCAATTCCATAGGTGAACAAACCGATTGGCAAAGTGCTGATCATTTCAGCAGACCTTTCAGAGATTCCACGCTGCAACTGCAAAGCGACGGACGAGAACCCCTGTGGTATGGACTCAGAGTGCATCAACCGAATGCTGCTGTACGAGTGTCACCCACAGGTGTGTCCCGCAGGTGAGCGCTGCCAGAACCAGTGCTTCACCAAACGACAGTTCTGCCAGGTGGAGATCTTCAGAACGCTGTCTCGAGGCTGGGGGCTGCGCTGTGTGCACGACATCAAAAAGGTAAAGCATTTAAATGACATATTATGTTTTGTTTTTTTTCCAAAACCTGAGCTGATTTCAGATGTTCTTCATGAGCAGTGACTATATAACTATTGGTGGAAGTATCTGCTTTTTAGCATGTTCACACTGCAGGAACTGGGAATGATTTTAGTTAACGGTACACCTTTTGGGGAACTAAATTAGCTTCTGATTTAGAGTAGGGTTCAACCCGGCACAATAGGAACTACCACCATATGAGCCACCATGCCATATGAAACACTGGCACCCGCCATTTTTAAAAAGCTGTGTAAACACACAGTTTACATTTACTTACTCCATTAACTAACTCCACAAACATGGTAAACCGCGATGGACCGGTGCCGAAGTCAAGGCACTTCTCCATCCTCCAGTTGTTGACATTGTTGAATGCTTCACCTAAATGACTAATGACTAATGCTGTCGTTCCTACTGGTGGTGCAAATGCAACCAGGAAAATGACCCTAGTTCTCAGGGGACTGCCCTGGTGGCTAGTTCCTATAACTGAGTTCTTATAACTGTGTAGACTTGTGTGTGAACAACAGTGCATGTGATAGGGCTTTAAACAGTCAAAACAAAGGTCCAATAGCTAGTGCATACACGCCAAACATATCCATCCGCGCTCACTGTCAGTAGAGTATACATTGAAGGGCTTGTGTTCTCAACTATGCGTGCGCAAGATGGAGCAGAACACGCCCAGATCTTAAAGGGATACTCCACCCAAAATAAAAAAATGATCTCATTGTTTACTTATCCTCACACTGCCCCAGATGTATATGACTTTTTGTCTTCAGATGAACTACTTATTTTTAGAAAAATAATCCATCTCTGTGTGTCCATATAATGCAAGTGTACGGGCCCCCAGAATTTTTAAACTAGAAACCATCGCTTCTAGCCAACTGTCATGCACGAGTTCATGAGAGGTCCATAAAGCTCAATTTGAGCCCATGTATGACAGTTAGCTGGAGAGTTTATAGGTAAAAAAAGGTTTAAAATATTAGTATATTTCTTACACACACCCATCATTTTGCGTGTAGAGATTCCTGCCATGTTCACGTATGAATGTGAGTTTTTCGAAGTGACAGTTTTTTTCTAAAAAATCTTTGTGTTCATCTGAAGAAAGAAAGTCATATATAACTGGGATGGCATGAGGGTGAGTAAATGATGAGGGAATTCATTTTTGGGTGGAATATCCCTTTAACGCTCACAGTTGATGCTTAGCATGTTATTAAGCTAAATCTGACAACAATATCATATATTTTGCTTCTCTTGCTCTAATCACGATTAAAAAATAACTCTTCAGTTCTAGAGTAAAAAGACTTAAAATAAAAACAAACTTTTTAATATTGAGCATTAGAATTTTTCTACAATTAATCCATCTCCTCCCCCTTAAAATATACAACCCCAATTCCAAAAAAACATTTTGTAAAATGCTATAAAAATCAAGAATCTGTGATTTAATTTTCTTTAACCTTTATTTAAGAAAAGATTTCCAATGTTGTCGCTGACCAACTTAATTGTATTTTGTAATTATAAACAAATTTTAATTTTGAATGTTCTAAATGTTAAAGTTTTTGCATGCAAAATTTTTGTCCAATCTTGACAATATTGATATAAGACTTTTGATGCTCAGCAGTCCATCGTCGTTATTGTCTGATTCTCCTTTTCATGATGGGCCATACATTTTCAATAGGAGACAGATCTGCTTGCTAGTCAGTCACATCCACGTGTCTACGAAACCACGCTGTTGTAGCACATGCAGAATGAGGCCTGCCATTGTCTTGATCTAATAACCATGGACTTCCTATGAAAGACGTCATCTTGATGGCAGTATAAGTTTCTGTACAATCCCAATATACGCCTCCATGTCAATGGTACCTTCGCACATATTCCAGTCACCCCCATAACATGACAGACGTTTGCTTTTGCATCTGTCACTGATGTTGTATATAATAATTTTTTTTCTGAATAGGAGTACATACTAAGTGTGCTGACAACCTAGTTATTATTTTCAGCCTTGTCACGTCCTCCTGTCGCTGTTTTTCCTTTTTTGTCTGAAGTAAACAAACTTTCACTAACATGACATCCGTATAAGCATCTCAATTCCTGGAACTTTCACTAACACTGGTGAAAGTCTGGATGGTCCCTTTGGTCTTTGGGAGCTAGAATTTGATGTCCGTTTTTCCCAAGAATAAGCTTAAATGTGGCACACATTTCCACTGTCGTTTTGACTATCTGAGATGAGCTCTGGCCCAGAGAACCTGGCAGCATCACTGTATAGAATCGATGTAGAGGTTTCTCCTTGCGAAACAGAGATTCAAGTTGCATTTCTTAATGCAGCAGCAGACTGTGGTAAATGACAGCGGTTTTCTGAAGTACTCCGAAGCACATGTGGCTATATTTAACACCACAGCATGATGGTTTCTTATGCAATATCATCTGAGGGCTCAAAGGTCAGGTTTCCTGCCTTGCCCTGCATGTACTGAGATTTCTCTGGATTCCCTGAATCTTTTCATAATATTATGTATTGTAGTTGGTGAAAGGCCTACATTATTTTGCCATTTTTATGTGATTTTTGATTTGTTTGACACTTATCTCATGACACATCGCACAAAGTGGCTTTGCTGGCAAAGACTGAGATGCTCCTTTTATACCCAAACATGATCCCCTCACATATTACCAATTCACCTGCTTATTGTGGACTGTTTCAAAACAGTTTAACTTGGATATTCTATAACGTTTTCACTTTCATTTTGCGTTGTGTTGCAGCCATCAACATCAAAATGCATTTAAGCTGGTCAGTGAAAACATTGGAAATCTTTCATTTGTACTTTTGTCAATTAAATAAAAGTTAAAGGGAATTAACAAATCACAGATTCTTAATTTCACTGCATTTTACAAAATGTCCCAACATTTTTGGAATTGGTGTTCGTTTGTCCAGTCTGCTTTCTAACAAATTCGTTGTTTTCAATGCTCAACCCAAGGGAGGATTTGTTAACGAATATGTTGGAGAGGTGATTGATGAGGAAGAATGTCGTGCCCGGATTAAACATGCTCAGGAGAACAATATCGGCAATTTCTACATGCTTACATTGGACAAGGTGAGATTACACCACTAGTTTAATTTTTCTGTGATTTCTGTTATTGGAAACTTAATATGTTGCTTTGCATTTGCTGGAAGGATCGAATTATTGATGCCGGGCCCAAGGGAAATGAAGCCCGTTTTATGAACCACAGTTGTCAGCCAAACTGCGAGACGCAAAAATGGACAGTCAACGGAGACACACGTGTTGGGCTTTTTGCGCTTACAGATATCCCTGCTGGTAAGTCCAATTTCATTTTTATGTAGAAGACATTGTAGTACAGCCTCTCATTTAAACGACTTTCGCAAAAACATTTAAGTGCTGATGTTTTCTTCCAAGGCACTGAGTTAACATTCAACTATAACCTTGAGTGTCTGGGCAATGGGAAGACAGTGTGCAAGTGTGGTGCATCTAATTGCAGTGGATTCCTGGGAGTGAGGCCAAAAGTAAGGAGATGATCTCCAGGGGTTATCTTTTATACAGTATAATATCATGTCATAACTAAAGACAGACTGATAATTGGTTTGACCAATTTTTTGTCTTGGGATTATAAATATTTTATTATTATTATCATTATTAAAAGAAAAATACAGGGGAAAACCAATAGTCTGTTTATCGCAAAAATTATAGAAATATAAATAATGATAACAATAAAGTAAAACATTTAACCGTTATCAGATACTGAAGCAAAAATATGTATAATTTCTATTTCATAATTTCTAAGGTAATGTAATTTTTCACAGAAACGTTTTTGGTATCTAAATATTTTCTGCTTTGATAAGTGATTGTAAATATACATCAACTCTGTGTCTATCAGAACAACCCCCCATCAGATGATAAAGGCCGTAAGCTGAAGAAGAAGTCTCAGATGAAGCGTAAATCCCAGCAGGAAGTAATCAAGGAGCGGGAAGATGAGTGCTTTAGCTGTGGAGATGGAGGACAGGTTGTGTCCTGCAAGAGGCCAGGCTGTCCTAAGGTTTACCACGCCGACTGCCTCAATCTCACCAAGAGACCCGCAGGTCAGTCTTGAAGTAGTCTCAAACGGACCATTCACTGACCATGAAGTCACTAGTGAAATAATAAACGAAGTTCATACATGATCATGCGTTATGTGTTCTGAAATCATATGACAGTTTTCTGTGAGGAAGAGAGGAAATTTAAAGGGTTAGTTCACCCAAAAATGAAAATTATGTCATTAATTACTCACTCTCATGTCGCTCTAAACCCGTAAGACCTTCGTTCATCTTCGGAACACAAATTAAGATATTTTTGATGAATTCTGACAGCTCTCTGACCCTCCCAAAGACAGCAATGTAATTACCACAATCAAGGTCCAGAGACGTAGCAAGGAGATCGGTAAAATTATCCATGTGACATCAGGGGTTCAACCATAATTTTATGAAGCTACGAGAATACTTTTTGTATGCAAAGAAAACAAAAATAACGACTTTATTCAACAATTCTTCTCCTCCGCGTCTCCCTGGTACCATTTTGGAGAATATCCACTGAACGTAAACAGCATATGCTATTCTGTGTCAGCTGCGTCACGCGGATACGTTTTCTACATTGTTTATGCTTTGATTTGACAACGTATCCGCGTGATGCAGCTGAAACAGAATAGCATACGCTGTTTACGTGGATTTACGTGTGAGTGGATACTCTCCAAAATGGCACCAGGGTGACGTGGAGTAGATGAATTGTTGAATAAAGTCGTTATTTTTGTTTTCTTTGCGTACAAAAAGTATTCTCGTAGCTTCGTAAAATTACGATTGAACCCCTGATGTCACATGGATTATTTTACCGATCTCCTTGCTACATTTCTGGACCTTGATCGTGGTAATTACATTGCTGTCTATGGGAGGGTCAGAGAGGTCTCAGAATTCATCAAAAATATCTTAATTTGTGTTCCGAAGATGAACAGAGGTCTTACGGGTTTAGAACGACAGGGTGAGTAATTAATGACAGAATTTTCATTTTTGGGTGAACTAACCCTTTAAGTAAATTCACTGTAAATTAAGACAAAATGATATCCGATTCATTTGTGACTCAGATTTCTTCAATGAATCAACTGATCTGATTCACAAACCCAATCTGAACGTTCACTGACTCAATGACCCTTCGCAGCTGTTAACAGCTCACTGGAGGGGAAGATTATCAGTGAATAACTTGCTTTGCCTTTCAGGCCGTTGGGAGTGTCCTTGGCATCAGTGTGACTTGTGTGGACAGGAAGCAGCTTCCTTCTGTGAGATGTGCCCTAGCTCCTATTGCGTCAAACATCGAGATGGCATGCTTTTTATATCCAAACTGGATGGGCGCTTGTCATGCAGCGAGCATGACCCCTGCGGCCCCGAGCCCCTGGAGCCTGGCGAGATCCGGGAATACCCCCCGGAACTCAAGACAACATACCCTATAAACTTCATCAGAGCTGCCAAAACCAAATCCACAACCCTAAACACTACAGCTGTCCCGCAGGCTCCATCTCCCCCTGATGCAGCCCCTCAGGTCTCCTTTAGCCCCTCCGGCAGCCCTCCACCACTTGACATGCCTTTAAACTGTGCATATTCATCAATTTCTCCCTGTGGAGAAGAAAAAGCAGAAGAGGAAGAACGTTTGATACAATTAGAAAGGGATGGTGAGAAGAGCATAACTCAAGAGAATTCGGAACGATTGATGATAAAGAAGAAAACCGAAGTATGAAGGTTCAATTTATAGAAGCAAACTAACCTGAGTTGACATTTGCCAACAGACATTTATAGCCATGTTCTTGTTTTCTCGCACTACTTTCGCTGAGGGTATCTGGTGTACTTCAACTTTTCACTACAACATACTTGAAGATGGTACACAAAATGGTTTGCATCTCCGTCAGTAATCTCTTTGATGAAGAGGACACAGATTGACGAAGTTGCCACAATGTTTTCGAAAAAATGATTCAAACACTGAACAGAACCCACTTTATACGACGTCATGGGATATCAGATTGTAGCCAATATTACATTTTGGGGACTGTGAAGAATGTTGGACATCCCCAAAAAAGCAACAATGAAGAGAATGAAGATACAGTATTTAGGGAAGGGAGTATTTTTTCCTTGGAAATTCCATTGCCTTCTTCATTAGGTCAAATAATAATGACTATAAACTCATTTACCAAAACTAATTTGTGCTGTATATTTGCTCTGTGAGCAAATGGTACAGAATGTAATCTTAGGGTAAATTTTACTATTGAGTAAGTGGTTCATAAACACTGCCTGGCCAAAAAAACAAAGTTACTGAATACTGAAGAGTCTAGGATTGGATAATTATTGCTGTGATGTTTCTGGCATGTTATATGTTTGGCAACAATTCTTTTAACCCTAACTGATGCACTGCATAGCTTTTTATTTCTTAAACAACTATGTCAAAAGACGTACCCATGTCCATATTTCTGGATGACAAAGTTCAATAGGCCCAAATTGTGAAAGATTGGCCACCATAGAGTCCTGAGGGGGAAGAATTGTTGCTAAACATATAGCATACCAGAAACATTAATCACTGAAATAATAATACAATTCTAAGTATAAATCCAGACAGTGACTTTTCTTTGGCCAGCCTCAAGTATACTTCAGTTTTTACGCGAAGGCTATATGTGCGTGTCACGTAAATTTCGTGATCAGCATAGTACACATGCACTGTACATGTGCAGACCAATTTTTGTAAGTGTGTGTACTCTGTATGCTCAGCTTGCACATTACTAACTATTTGGTGCTGTGGGATTACAAATTTAAGAATCTGTTTAAAAGATAAAGTCATTCAGAAACAAGCCGTTAGAGCCTAAGTGGCACGGACCACATCAAGTGATGTTGATTACAGCAGCTGCAGTGTTGTGTCAGGGAAGGAAAACCTGGACTCATGTTTCACACTGTAAAGTTGTTCCTCCACCTACAGGGATAGGATAGGACACACGGACCAGTGAGGAGCCCAGGGAAGAACCGAATGCAACAGGCTTCGGGGGACAACCCTGCGGTGAAGAATCCCTCGTAGGCCTTCCCCATCCACTAGTCCATCCTTACCTCACTGTTGTTTAGGTGTCGCAGCAACCACCTCTACTGAATGTATCCCTCCCCCTTAAAATGTATATAAACTACAATGTATAACTGCCTTAGTCAGACTTTTGATGACTGCAGCGCCACGCAGCGCGTTCTCAATAAAGAACTCTGCTGAAGATACCCAAGAGTCTCCTGATCTCTGCTTCGACAAGGAAAAAGTTTCCTACAGTGCACAATGAGGCAACATTGGGCTAACCCATTGTTTCGAAAAAGAAGTATAGGAGACTTTAGGGGGTTAAGAGATACACACAACCCTAGTTTAAAATAGTACAAAGAGTTTTTATCGGTTCTAGAGAGAAATAGCACAGACATTAGACAAAAGTGAACATTTCTAGCTAGGCATTTGCGTCAAAACTAAAGTTTACTTTGGACTTAAGAGTGCAGTAAATTGATCGTAATTAATAAGATTAAAATGTCAGTGTCTCGATCCTAGCCAACTGTTTCAATAACTTGAAGACTATCATTTTGAAGCACTTTTCTATAATAATCCAAAATTTGCCTGCTAACATGTTAAGACAAAAGCAAAATATTTACAAGTATGCTTATAATTTATTTGAGATAATTTCCCAGAATTGTCTTTGAATTAATCTTTGCCAAACTGGCACAAATCCAGAACTTGATGCAATTCACAAAGGAACTGTTTTGATTGATCATATCCACTGATATTCCCAAAATTCTTTGGTGTAAATTATTCTGTGACTTTAAACATGAACTGTGTGATTTTTTTTTGTGGCATCCAACGGTTACAAAACGTTCAAACAAACAGGAAATCCTGTCCCAACTTACCAGTCATTGAGAAAGTGCAACTATGCACTGGATCTCTTAACTGGATTAGTCAGATAAGTAAAAGGATGATCTGTTCTGTCTTGCTGCATATATTTTTATACATTAAATCTATATGGGAGAAGGTGACTGGCTTTGCAAGCCTAATAAACACTCCCAGTCAAGTTTTTGGCATTTAGTGAATTCATGTTAAATTTTCCATAAAGGCTGATATCTTAAATAATGTTCAACATACAATTTGAACTAAAACCGTGTAGTGTAAAACACTATTATTGGCAACAAAAGCCCTCTAGCCTTCTGTAAAGCTAATGTATAGGACAAATGATTGTGGCTTGTTGCATGTCTACACTCAGAAATTTCTCGGCTGGTTTTCCTCACCCCCATCTAACTGCTCAAGTGTTCTTCATGATGAACAGAATTTCTTTTTTTTTCCTTAAACTGTATTTATGTATATAAATACTTAATACTTAATAGTTTTAACGCTGCTCTAAGAGTCATTCCACAGTATATTTCAATCAAAATTCAGGCAAAAGGGAAAAAAAATATCTGTTGCCTTGTTAAGAGACTTTAATTGTGCTGTAGTGCTTTGTACAGAATAAACAACAGTACACACTTGTTGCTTCCTTGCTGCTGTTTCTACCATCCTTCTAGTTTGACCAGAATTGTATTTTTTGGTTAATTTATTGCATTTGCCAGACATTAATTGTCTTTAATCAAATGTGAGTAAAACTGTTGAACTGTAAATCTCACAAAAACGGTCAACAAATGCTTGGGTGATATTTCATCCCAAAATAAAAACTAATTATATTTTCAGGATAATTCAAGTGTTTTGAATTGCAACACTAATTGCATGACAATTAGGCACATTTCCACATGCAATTGTCTTCAGCCTGTAATTTTTTTTTTTAGGCAGAAAAAAAGACCTTTCTCATTACTGTAACACAAAAAAACAGTATATTGTAAAATGTAAGTATACATAATGGTAGCATTAATTGCATATATGCTGATAATAAAAGCTTAAAGCCTAAGCATAATAATAATGAAAAATGTTGTACCCAGACAGGATGATTTAATTTCTGTATTACAGTAATGAGAATTTTTGGGCAGAATCTGGGGCAATTGTCATTACAATAGTGTTACAATGACAAAATCTTGCAACCAATTTAATTTTCTTTGTGCAAAAGATCCTGAAAGTGCAGCGAGTTTCTAATGTGATTCCGTTTCATATCATTTCATTTAATAATTTCACTTTAATTTCTATGAAATCTTGGCTGAAGCTTCATTTTTATA